AAACAAAACAAAAAACAGAACCAAAAGACATCTTCTTATTGAAAGGAGATTTGGCAGATACATCAATGAGACAGAAACACAAAGGAAAAAAAAAACAAAAAACAGAACAAAAAGATATCTTCTTATGGAAAGGAGATGTGGCAGAAACATCAATGAGACAGAATTACAAAGGAAAAAAAAAAACAAAAAACAAAACCAAAAGACATCTTCTTATTGAAAGGAGATTTGGTAGATACTTCAATGAGACAGAAACACAAAGGAAAAAAAAAAAAAAAAACAAAACCAAAAGACATCTTCTTATTGAAAGGAGATTTGGCAGATACTTCAATGAGACAGAAACACAAAGGGAAAAAAAAACAAAAAACAAAACCAAAAGACATCTTATTGAAAGGAGATTTGGCAGATACTTCAATGAGACAGAAACACAAAGGAAAAAAAAACAAAAAACAAAACCAAAAGACATCTTATTGAAAGGAGATTTGGCAGATACACCAATGAGACAGAAACACAAAGGAAAAAAAAAACAAAAAACAAAACCAAAAGACATCTTATTGAAAGGAGATTTGGCAGATACTTCAATGAGACAGAAACACAAAGGAAAAAAAAACAAAAAACAAAACCAAAAGACATCTTATTGAAAGGAGATTTGGCAGATACTTCAATGAGACAGAAACACAAAGGAAAAAAAAAACAAAAAACAAAACCAAAAGACATCTTCTTATTGAAAGGAGATGTGGTAGATACTTCAATGAGACAGAAACACAAAGGAAAAAAAAAAACAGAACCAAAAGACATCTTCTTATTGAAAGGAGATGTGGCAGATACATCAATGAGACAGAAACACAAAGGAAAAAAAAAACAAAAAACAGAACAAAAAGACATCTTCTTATGGAAAGGAGATGTGGCAGAAACATCAATGAGACAGAATTACAAAGGAAAACAAAAAACAAAAAACAAAACCAAAAGACATCTTCTTATTGAAAGGAGATTTGGTAGATACTTCAATGAGACAGAAACACAAAGGAAAAAAAAACAGAACCAAAAGACATCTTCTTATTGAAAGGAGATTTGGTAGATACTTCAATGAGACAGAAACACAAAGGAAAAAAAAAACAGAACCAAAAGACATCTTCTTATTGAAAGGAGATATGGCAGATACTTCAATGAGACAGAAACACAAAGGAAAAAAAAACAAAAAACAAAACCAAAAGACATCTTATTGAAAGGAGATTTGGCAGATACTTCAATGAGACAGAAACACAAAGGAAAAAAAAAACAAAAAACAAAACCAAAAGACATCTTCTTATTGAAAGGAGATGTGGTAGATACTTCAATGAGACAGAAACACAAAGGAAAAAAAAAACAGAACCAAAAGACATCTTCTTATTGAAAGGAGATGTGGCAGATACATCAATGAGACAGAAACACAAAGGAAAAAAAAACAAAAACAGAACAAAAAGACATCTTCTTATGGAAAGGAGATGTGGCAGAAACATCAATGAGACAGAATTACAAAGGAAAACAAAAAACAAAAAACAAAACCAAAAGACATCTTCTTATTGAAAGGAGATGTGGCAGATACATCAATGAGACAGAAACACAAAGGAAAAAAAAACAAAAACAGAACAAAAAGACATCTTCTTATTGAAAGGAGATGTGGCAGATACATCAATGAGACAGAAACACAAAGGGAAAAAAAACAAAAAACAGAACAAAAAGACATCTTCTTATGGAAAGGAGATGTGGCAGAAACATCAATGAGACAGAATTACAAAGGAAAACAAAAAACAAAAAACAAAACCAAAAGACATCTTCTTATTGAAAGGAGATTTGGTAGATACTTCAATGAGACAGAAACACAAAGGAAAAAAAAACAGAACCAAAAGACATCTTCTTATTGAAAGGAGATTTGGTAGATACTTCAATGAGACAGAAACACAAAGGAAAAAAAAAACAGAACCAAAAGACATCTTCTTATTGAAAGGAGATTTGGCAGATACTTCAATGAGACAGAAACACAAAGGAAAAAAAAAACAAAAAACAAAACCAAAAGACATCTTATTGAAAGGAGATTTGGCAGATACTTCAATGAGACAGAAACACAAAGGAAAAAAAAACCAAAAAACAAAACCAAAAGACATCTTCTTATTGAAAGGAGATGTGGTAGATACTTCAATGAGACAGAAACACAAAGGAAAAAAAAAACAGAACCAAAAGACATCTTCTTATTGAAAGGAGATGTGGCAGATACATCAATGAGACAGAAACACAAAGGAAAAAAAAACAAAAACAGAACAAAAAGACATCTTCTTATGGAAAGGAGATGTGGCAGAAACATCAATGAGACAGAATTACAAAGGAAAACAAAAAACAAAAAACAAAACCAAAAGACATCTTCTTATTGAAAGGAGATGTGGCAGATACATCAATGAGACAGAAACACAAAGGAAAAAAAAACAAAAACAGAACAAAAAGACATCTTCTTATTGAAAGGAGATGTGGCAGATACATCAATGAGACAGAAACACAAAGGAAAAAAAAACAAAAACAGAACAAAAAGACATCTTCTTATTGAAAGGAGATGTGGCAGATACATCAATGAGACAGAAACACAAAGGAAAAAAAAAAAAAAAACAGAACCAAAAGACATCTTATTGAAAGGAGATTTGGCAGATACTTCAATGAGACAGAAACACAAAGGAAAAAAAAAACAAAAAACAAAACCAAAAGACATCTTCTTATTGAAAGGAGATGTGGTAGATACTTCAATGAGACAGAAACACAAAGGATAAAAAAACAGAACCAAAAGACATCTTCTTATTGAAAGGAGATTTGGCAGAAACATCAATGAGACAGAAACACAAAGGAAAAAAAAACAAAAAACAGAACAAAAAGACATATTCTTTAAAAGTATTTTATGAATGAAATGAGAAACAAAATGAATACTAAGATCAGTTTTTAGCTCTTTCTGTCCCTTTAAATATGTTAAATCATATGAACAACAGAATCTTTATTTTTATTCTATACAAAGCATTCTTGTGTACATTTTTTTGTTGTTTAAAATAAAACCTTAAAAAATTTCTGAAAACAACAGTTGTCTTAATTCTACAATTGCCTTAATAAATTCAGTATAGTCATATAAACTCAAAGACAAACACTTACTGTAAAGCTCGTTATTTCGTGTGGGTTTTATTTACACTTATTTTGTGATCACTTAAAATGTGATAAAATATTATCTCCAATGCAAAGAGTTTGTACAAATATGTTGATAATAAGGGCAAACTTATTTTTTGATGCACAAATTGAACCCCCAAGCAAACTGTTTATATATTGATATTGAAAAAATAACATCCCACAAATATATCCAAGTTTACAATACTTTCAGTATACATTCATAAAAACAAGATATAATGACTACATTTAATTTGACAGGATTGCAGAAGATGCCTGTCCTTTGGTCACAAATTATACTCAAATACTGAATTATACTCAAATTTAAAGGAGTAGGGGCAATAAGGCAATTATTTGGCCCAAATATTACTGCAAATTGAAAAGTAACCATACATGTTCTTAAAGTTTCTTAAACTACACTAAGGTACAAAGTGTTCAAAAAATAAAAACAAATTTAATATTTAAGGAGTTACCATGGCAACAAATCATGACAAAATTAGTATATTTTGTAACATTTCTTAATTTTCCTTGCTTTACATCAACTTTTAAGTATATATTAGATTGGAAAAGTATGTGTGCATGCAAGAAACAACTTTTTATTTGGTGAGAATATGTCAAAAGTTACAATAAAGCTTCCCTTAAACTATTTTGTTGTTTCTTGCCTGAACACTATGTTTCCACAAAGGAAATAATGATGGAAACTGCATAAACTCTGCTTTCCTTCTATTCATGGAAATGGTGCATATCATGACATAATTGTGACGTCATGATATCAAAAATATTATGTTATTCATTTATATTTCTTTATTTTATGCATTTCCAAACATTATATGCAAAGTTGAAACAGAACTCAAAAACTTTTTCTCGGGCCAATCCTGGGCCTGATTGCCCATACTCCTTTAACTGAAAAAGAATTGTGGAAGTTACAAAGATGAAACTCTATTAAATGTTTGCAAAGCACTGAATTTTTTTCTTAAAGAGCTGTTTGTGATTTGCTAAATGATTAAGAATCTAATCTCTTATAAATGCTGATAAATTACACCACATTAGTCAAAGTGTCTCAGCTCAATCCTGCATGCACACATTTTTTTCAGTATGTGAATGGGTTTCCAAAAAAAGCTGTTCAAAAAGATTTATGTTAAACTATTTCAGTGGTGGTGGGTGGCCATCTTGGGTTTTAGATCAGTATAAAAATCACAAATTGTATGTAAGATCATCATATTGTTATGTACAAATGATATTGCTCTAATCTATAAAATGATTAATATGTAGAAGCTATTCCATATTCTAAGATTACAGATAAGAAATAAGAGGCAAAATCTGAAGTTTGGTAGAGAATCATATAAGGGCCATCCCTACCATTTCATAATAAATTAGGGAGAGTGATTTCAAGAAAATCTTATGAGTTTCAGTTAATCAGAGGCCTTTCTTCAGCCCCAACAGCAATGTTGTAAATTGGTCACACAAAAATCAATAAGTTTTATAAGGTCTATCTAAATATATTTCTGCCAAGCTTGGTAATATTTGGCTACAGAATTTCTAGGAAGAAATTTATTTTGAAAAAGTCTGTAACATATGACAAATACCAAGTGATCAGAAAAGTTCTCTGCAATTGATATAGCAAATTTAAAATTCAAACTAAAAAAAAGATACTGACCATGCATAGCTCTCATTCAATAAGTTTCTGATGGAGATGAGCGTCATCTAAACCTGTGATATAAAGGCATACATAAAAATTGGAGTGGTAACAGATAGGTTTAAAGCACAGAAAGGTAAGATCTTGATTACGTTCAGAGCACATAACATTAATATAAATGGCTATTAACTACCTTGGTGTTGTCCTCCAACAGAGATCAAGTTAATCATAGGTGGATTGGGACATCGCTGTGCAACTGCTCTCCTACAATAAATAAACAAAGTAGTTATCGTGTATACATTGAAATAATCTTTATTTACTGGACCTTTACCTACATTTATACAAGAATGCACAGGTTATCCTGCTAACTATATATCCCCACTCATAATTCACAGTATTGGAAAACAGGAAGGAGGTATATGACAGGTTGAAAAGGTGCTTGAGTTCATTCAACATTGAAACATTCAAAGTATCAGCAAACAGGAATTAGGTGTCTGACAGATATGAAAAAAAAGCTCACATGTTAAAACTCGTCACAGGCAAGCTGTTAACAAAACATGAAGTCATTCTATGCAGTAGTACTTTAGAAAAGAAAAGAGATTATCTATTGGAGGAAAGGTCAATGAAGAAAGAAAGAACAGAAGATCAGGCAAACAGACAAACAGACAAGGTGATTGCAATAAAGGCCTAACTCTTAGAATGGATGTATAATGACGGTAGTTGTCTGCAACAGTCTGTTAATCCCCTTAAAATCCGAGTAGTTAATACTTGTAACTTCAGCAGGTACAGAGTTATTTTTTCTTGAAATAATAGTAATTCAAGTATATTTAATAAGGAGTAAAAAGAAATTAAAAAAAACTTCACCAGGACATAAAACTAAAGCACTTTGCACAAAGATTAGATTTATGTAATTTCTCACAAATATTTCTTAACCTTGCTTAAAGTTTGGGTTTCCTTTTTTTAGCTATGGGAAACTTTTTAAATTAAAGTTGTCAAGGACATGTGTCTCCTTATTCCCTCTTGTCTAAGTTACATAATACAGCAAATTAAAAAAAAAATATATCTTATCTGAACAAGACTTCACACATTATGTGACAATTGTGTAGAATTTTGCTTATTCCAACAAATTCAGAGTAAAATGTAAGAAATTATGCCTTAGCAGAGCTTGATACCTATTTATTGTTGAAAACTGTATGTTAAATTGCCCTTTATATGTCTTTTGGTTATTTAGCTTGTGGGTTGCTGTCTCATTGACCTAGACCCCACAAAACTTTTCATTCATACTCAACAAACCTACACGAATTTTGATACTAAAACATTCAAATTTTTGTATCCTTGAAAGAATTTGGTAGTTTTAAGTAATTTGTGGGTAATGATATCCCTGACTTTATAATTTACCAGTTATACATATATTACAATAATTATAAACTAAAATGTCAGAACAGAAAAGGGCATAGCGACAACCTATTTGGGAAATATACCCACCTTAAAAAGTAGCCAAAGGAACATCACAGGCCAAAAAAGGAAAATTAACAATAGGAAACAAAAAATATTCTCTTTTGTTGTAAATTTTTGTATAGAGTTTCTGGTGTGAAACTCAAATATCACATTATATTAGATTTATTTTAAAGTATGTCAGTTCCCTTGGGTAATTTCCCATGTATATATAATAAGATAATTCTTGATTATCTTAAGCAAATATATCAACTTTGTAATTGAATCTTTTTGGTATTAAATGGAATTTTAATAACATTTAGAGGTATCTTTAAAAGTCTAATCTTAATGTAACATTGAAAAGTCAGCAACCATGGGAGGTCTGAAAATGTATAATCTTAATGAGAAGTAAACTATTGGCTACAGAAACCCCTGGGAACTCTGAAATTGGTCTGGTACGAAATGGAATACCTGGAATCTAACATAATGTTTAATCAGACATTATTCAGTAAAACAAGTGTTGCCTCATGCATTATATATAGTCAAATAAATTACATAATCAATCATTAGACCTAACAATGTGTATGACAAGAATTCTCCCAAAAAAATAAATCTATATACAGTAATCATTTTTATGAAGACGGAAGTCCAAATTTATGACTTTGCTTTATGTCAATCCCATAAATTTTTAACATCCTGCAAACATAAATATTGATTATTACATAATTTGACTTTCAAATTTTTTGCTTTGAGTGTTTCTGATGAAAGTAAATCAGAAAAACATGGTGGATGTAACTAATCTATAAATCATTATTATCATAAGTCACTAGTAACCTATTGAAAATTTTTGTCTTTCTGCAAAATTTCTCAAAAAATGTTTCCTTGCTCTTTTTGGGGGGACAAATTCTGTAACCTTGGTATTTTGGATCATTAGAAAACAGTGCTCTGCATAATTAATTTCCATTACTTGCACTGTTAACTTGCATTAAAACTTAACATATACTAAAATAGTAAAACTAGCAAGATTTCATTACCTGATTGATTTTCTATTTTACCAAGATTTTTATCATAAAATCAAATAAATACTAATTAGACAAATTCTAAAGAATTTCATGTCCTGTTCCATTGATAAGAAGATTAATGGATTGATAGATGTTTTTTAAATTCTCTGTAATCATATGAAATTGGGAATATAATATTGACTCTTGCTTCCACTGTTTCAAAAGAATAGTAAACATCACCATATGCTGTGAAATCAAGGCATGTTGTATAACTTCAGTTATTTTATCAGTCTTTTATCCATGCATTGCACATTGTAGAAATGCTATTAGGTAATTAATAAAATAGATGTTGAACAATCTGTGTTTCTGTAGTTAAAAATGCAAGATGAGTGATATAGTACAGAAAGAAAATTAAGGCCTTGGGCAAATTGTAAGGCCATCCAAGAAAGTGTTAACCTAATTCTAAAAATTGTTCAGTCACCACCAATATCTATACTCTAAATTCAGCTGACAAGTCGAAATTGAAATTAGGTAGAATGGTTCTGTAATGTCCCATTTCTGACCTACATCTATTACTTCCCTTTACAAAGATAGCCCCTACTTATGATTCTAGAAGACTCATCATTCATCATCAATGACCTGAAGATTATTTAAACAAATTGCACTTTCAAGTCAGGCCAGAACTAGTAAATGAATTGAAGTAAACTGTGTGCTTTTTATCTTATGGTAATATTTTTCTATAAAAATACATTTTTTCCAAAGTTTTCAAAACTATGTGTTCTCTAAGATGTATACTTTGTATATTTTTTCTTTAGTCTTTTTTTAGTTGGAAAGTGCTTGATTCATTTGATTGGTACTAAATACTACTATGCACAAAAAAAAACTAACATAAAGACAAAAGATAGAAAGTACTGATCTAAGAGTACTAAAAGCAACTGAAAGCTAGGTAAAAGCTCTATTTCAGCTTATGAATAAACCATATTTCCCCAGGCTAGAATGCCCATTAGTAGACTGCATATTTAATGTATAACTTACAAAAACTGTCCTCCCTGTGAAAATCCAATGGCATTGTAACCATTCTGTAGTTTTGAGTCTTTAGCCAGCATTTCACATACCATACTGATTTGTGTATTTGCATTCAAGAAGAAGCCATTTATAGTGTCCTGTAATAATTATAGCATAATTTTACAAATATATTTAAAATGAGGTGCTAAACACTAGAGGCTCCATGGAGATTGAATCTTTCATTTTGTGAAAAATACCATGTACTACAGAAAATTGTTAATGATTGAAATGATATTGCAATGAATATTTTCATTTAAATGATCAGAAATATTAGGTGGTCCCTGGATATCAGGTGGTCACTAGATGTTTTTGGTTGTCTTAATCATTAATCTTAATCATTGTGGGGGGGATGTCAATGAGACAGCAACCCAAATACAGCTAGAGGTCAACATATAGTCCTCAACAATAGACAGGTGTCTATACCATATGTCAAACTTCAATGTTCGCTAAAAAACAACAAATTTTATAGCAATAATAATGCCTGAAAAAGGTTGTCAAGCAAAATCACCAAGTAAACAGTTACTGTAAATTCAGAAATTATTGCGTGCATTTATTATTGCGATTTTGTCATTTTAGACTAAAATGCTATTTAAATTTTTGCGATATTGAGAAAAATTCTGCTTAATTCATATAAAATATTTCAAAATGCGAGTTTAAATTATTGCGATTATAACCCTGTCACATTTTGCGCAATAATAAAAACATCGCAATAATTTCTGAATTTACAGTACTAGGCAAAAAACACTTCCAAATTGTAAACAGGCATGTGAAAATGTATACTGATGCAGTGGATTAAAACAAGAAGATATAAGCACTTGAAGTAATAAAACTATATATTACCTCTTCAATGTTATCACCAATCTCCAGGGACTTAACATACACTTTGGACACTTGTTTTTCTATCAGACCTTTGATTGATCCCATGCTAAGTGGGTTACAACAACTGTCACCTGAAAGATGATAAAAATATCAAAATTCTGTTGACCAAAAAAAATCATAAGATATATTGATATAAGTTAAAAAATATAATTTTTAATAAAACACTAAGCTTAGGAAATATCAAATAAGCATCACTTACAGCATTGTACAATTAGACCATATTACAGTTACACAACAACAAAAATTTCAATTGTCAAATCTAATAGAAAAGAAAAGGTATCAAGTCAGATTTTTTTTACAGCTTATATATACAAATGGCAAAGGTTTTGCCCTTTCTCAAATCAAATGAGTCAAAACATTTTTTAAGTTACAGTTTTAATTCATTTCTTTATAACAATGAACTGGTGAAAAGTTTCAGTCCATTGCTTTTAAAAGGGTGGCTGTTTTTATAAAGCCATCTTTTTCTGGCAATGGGCTTGACTTTCAGTTCTTAAACATGGTTAATATCCATATTGCCAAACAGAATTTGTACACCTTTGTTGCAGATGACTATTTTATTAATTTCAAAGTGACCATAGTGACTTATGCTTAGACGAGTGAAATGAACTATACCGGTATTTAGAAATATTGCTTCTCTATTGGTGCATTAACTCAATATTCAGGTTTTCATATTTAAGTCATTTCAAATTATGGAGTGTATCTCCCTCATGCATAGATCTGATTCTTTGCCTGGGTTTGGCTTAAATTTTGGTCCGTTTTGGTTTCAAAAACTCTTCAGCGTTTTAATGAGATTTTAGAATTTCAAATATTTTAGCCTGTCGAAAAACAAATCTGGTGCAATAAAATTGGTACTGTTTAAGTTATTAATTGACTTGTAAACTTTTAAGATATGCACAAAAATTAAATACAGAAATTAGACCAATTTGTCACTGATTGACTGTTGGTTGCTTAATGTCCGGTGGCAAATATTTCATGCATGTTCAGTTCGATTGTCACTTAGAAAAATTCCTAATTGCAGTTCTCTAAATCATTTAACTAATTTATTGGACAATATGCAAAGACATGAAATTAAAAATTGCAAACACGCTGCAGAAAAATAACCCTTTCCCACCTGCATTTCTATCAGTATCAAACCGCCCTACCATTCACATTGTTCAATATTGTTTTGCATATTTTGTCATTATTTATTATTCCATTATATGTAAAATATGCAAAATTTACCCATGCCATGCCAAAGAACAACTGGTGTCTGTCCCAGGGCACATGACAATGTCAAAAACACCACAAAAGAACCCAAAGTTAGTCTTCCGTCGTCTGCCATCTTGTCCGATCACATGAGAAGTACAGGGAGAATCTCTACTTTCAATTTTGGAGGAAAAAAATTATTTATAACTATAAAAGTTAAATGAAATTTTCGGGTTTGATAGTCATTACACATGTATATTATTTATTGAAATCAGTTCATTGGATGGAACTTCTATTAAAATTATGTGTATGTTAATAAATATAAAAAGAAATGTCAATAAAGCACGAAAGGATCCCGTGCACTGTGCACTTGTGAAAGGGATATAACTCTACTTTCACATTGCCACATTGCGAATGACAACAGAACAAGGATAGGTTAAAATCAATATTTTCTTGTGCTATATGATAATGGTTTTCTTTCGTTGAAACTTAAACGACACCATGGCTGCGACTTTAAAACTCCAGCGTGGAGTTTGTTTCATGTGCAAAAGTTTACAGAGTAAAGTTCATGTAATAAAAACCACTTCAGCAAGAGGAACACACAAATACACACATGTGTCTATTTCAAAATCTTATAATAAATACAGCTCTGTTTATAGAGATTTACATGGAACTGTTGATGATCAAACTATAGCAAAAGACTTTGTATATGCATTAAAGCCAATGGAAAGAAATCTGCTACTTTCAGAATTACAGAATTTTGATAAGTTAAGGAAAACACAGGGTAAGTGTACTAAACATCATTTAAATTTAAGGTTTTATAATTTTCATTAAAAGCTTGTCAAGTCAGAAAAAAATATATTTTATCACACAATGAACAACTTTGAAATATGTTTTTTTTTTGCATATCTTATTCTTTACTTTTGTTTCATTTTTGTTTATTACCAAATAGTTTTATAGGTCTTTAACTAGAGCATTGCACATTGTATTTCATATTTGAACATTTTGTGTTTAAGACCTTATTTGAGCCAGAGACATGTATATATATATATATGTGTGTCTCTGTTTTAGCTACTGATTTTTCCCTTTTAAGAATATTTAATTTTTCTTATCTTTGAATTTGAATTTGATGCATCTTGATGTCAGAACAAGGATTTTAATAACTTTTAAGAATGACACTAGATTGATAAAGTGTATTGAACTGTTTGCAACTGTCTGATAATTGGAGACTTCTTAAATCCATCAATCTGATTTATTCCTTCATTTTCCCTTGAACATGTTGAAAATTTTTATATCAAGTCAGAAAATATTGTCCAGTTATTTCAACATGTTGCTCGGAAGTCCGCTCAATCATTTTTTTCCTCATAATGGTGTAAAATTGAAATGTTTATTTCTTTTCCAAAATTGATTACTGAATCAATTCTTTATTGCCATTTTATAGAATCTGTCAGGAGATATAATTTGATATTATGTGAAGCTCTATTTCAACAGAACAACCCAGTCTTTCATGGACATATACACAATGTACATGAAATGGGTTGCAGCTTGTAATTAGTTTTAATATGCAAAGTATTAATTATATAAAGTGTGTTTTGCTGTATAATCCTTAGTTTTTTTTTTTATTTTGGGTTGGGGTATATATTATGTAGTATAGTAATATAGTCATGAAATATAATTTTAGAGGTCAAATTTATTTTTAGTGAAAGGATGTGTTGGACTTAAAGGTACTTATGAATGTGCAGTGTAAGGTGAATGGAAAATCATTTATATTTTGATAAAGAAATAGAAAAAAATATTCTGTTGATTGTTGGAAGTTCATTTACAAGCATGTATTATACAATTGAGGTAAATTATATGGCCTTCCAAATACCGTTTCGATTCCTAACATCACTGGAGAGACATTAATTGTCGAAATCTGGATATGGTGTACAGATTTTTGCACCTCATGTTTGTGGTATACCATCTTTTCCGCAAGTTTTTTGTTTGGTAATAAATTAATAATAATTACAAACGAAAGTGAACCAATGCCTGGTGAGTCTGTAGTGAGTTAGAGTCCCTGAAGTGGATACCTCGGGTATGCAGGGTCGTTATGATGAAACACAATAATGTAGAAAGTCTTATAACAACAACACTGGAGGGACTGCTACAGAAAATCAATAAATTTTCTGTAGCAGTCCCTCCAGTGTTGTTGTTATAAGACTTTCTAAATTAATAATAAGATCTATTTTGTTACGCTTGTGATCCGTTTTTTTTGGCAATCGCCAATGGCAGTTAGCAGGGTTTAAGAACATCAGTTGTTCGACCTGCTAGTCAAATGCGTTTTGTTAAAATATACTTTTTCACTCATTTGGTCTTTTGAAAAATGTTGTTTGTGCTGTATTTAGACCCCTCTACCAAGAAATTTGTTTTGCATGCACACGTATAAAAATTGCGGTTTTTATCCAACGCAATCATAGGTTTGAACGTTGTGTTTGATTTAGACTTGTTTATACAATATTAGTATATAAAACAAACCTATGAACATTTCTAGTAATACATGTATACTACAGTTTATTTGTATAATCGTGTATTGATAAAATATGTGGGCCTAGAAGATCATAAAGATCAAACTTTGCAATGTTCCAGTATATCTTATTCTTTACTTCATACCAATACAGGGCTAGAACCTGTACTTTTGCCATCCATTTCTAATGCAACACTGACTAGAAATAACTGTCACCTTAATCTCTCCTTTAAATTTAACTGATACAAATAAGCTTTCATTTAGTTTATATATAATTATATAGATTGCCTAATGAATATATATAAAATATTTATAGTGTCATGACAAATGAACACAATGTTCACTAAACAAATGCTTAAGCTTCAGCAGGCATGCAGCTCCAGGTGATAATGGGATCCTAATATAGTTTTTTTAACTTTTGAAGCTGACTTAGAGTTTTTGGGGTACAATCAGATTTAATTGTGCTGTTTATAATTTTAAGACGATAAATCTTGAAAATAATACAATTTTAAGCAGCACAATTAGATCTACTTGAAGCTGCACAAGTTTTATATCAGCATCCCATTAACACCTTGGGCAGCACGTCTGATAAAGCTTGTTTGTTTTAGTGAAATATTACATTTAATTTGTCATCACATTGTAAATATTTTATTTATTTGCATATCATTGCTAAATAGTGTTTTAAAATGACATTATTAAGCAATCTATGATTTTATTTGGGTAATTGTGTTAATCTTTGAACTGATTAATCCACCCTCAAAAACATTTGAATGTGATGTGTTGCTATTTATAGGATCTATATATATTTAGGTTTATTTTGAATCTAATGTGGGAAAAGCAAACATTTTTTCTGTTAAAGGTTTAAATGTATGTATGTCAATTAACATGGACACACTCTGTTTAAATATCAAAATGAATAGCTGAATTTATTCTGGTACATTTGAAATTTTAAAAGGGAAAAAAAATGTTGGATTAGTATATTTTTTTTTAAAATTTAATAGGAAGTGATGTAGGTTAGGAATGCTATCTGCAAATGGACTAGTATGCACCACATTTCCTTATATTCATAGTTTAATCCCTCTACATGTTTCTGTAAATTTTATCATTGGTTGTCTCTTAATATAAGTAACTATGTACATAGATTTATTAATTTTGTTTGTAAAAATAGAAATATAGTAAATGAAAACATGTTCACCTTAGGTTTGTCATATTTTGTCATTTTATTTTTGAATAAACTTATTTTTACTATATTTGATAATATCAGACAGGAGACATGAATGTTTTGTAAATGTATGCATATTCTTAAAACAACTGAAGTTCAAATAGTATTGCCAACATACAATTTTGTTTTTTTTCAATATGAGTTACAGTTATATACATAGAAATTATAAGAAGGTGAAAACAGAAAGTTTTTGTAGACTCTCTAAATCTGTGCCTCCAGTTATTGTACATATAATAGTTCTATTGTATTTCCTAAAGGCAAACATTACAAGGAGAGAGAATTGGTGCAGTGATTTATTATCATTGATTAATCACAAATACTTTACTGATACAGTTTATCTGCTATTTAATTGTAATTATAAGCTCAATAAAGTCATCATTTGTCCTTTTATCTCTTATGACTTTGGACATTAGTCTGGCCAGTTAAGATAATACATAATGTCTACTGACATTGGGAAATGAAGTTTACAAATATTGAACTTTAGCTTTGTGTGTAGGTTGGAAATTACTAAGTTTTTTTCTTGAGAATATAATGTACATAAGTCTTCAGTCACATCTTTTTTATCTTTTATATTCTGAATATAAGGTTGCAGAAAACCATATAATGCATTGATTTTTATTTAGTACTTTTTATCATAAAACTTACAAAATTAGCTTTGTCGAGCCTGCAACTTCTGTCGCAGAAAGCAAACATAGGGAGAGTGAGCCTGCAGCGGTAACAGCAGTGTTAACTAACTACTTTTAAAAAAGCTTCATAATTCAGAAGGTAGAAGATCTGGAGGCTTCATACTTTGTATATAGATGCCTTATGTTATGAAGTTTCAGTCTGTTATATGTCCATTGTCCTTGACCTCATTTTCATGGTTCAGTGATTAATTGAAAAAAAAGTTAAGAATTTTTGTAATGTTAATTTCTCTCTTATTATGAGCAATAGGATAACTATATTAAGTATGTGTGTACCTTGCAAGGTCCTAATGCCTGTCAGACACTTGACCTCGACCTCATTCCATGGATCGGTGAACAAGGTTAAGTTTTCTCAGATACTATAAGCAATAGGTCTACTATATTTAATGTATGGAATGATTGTAAGGTGTGCATGTCCAATTGGCAGGTGTCAACTGACCTTGACCTCATTTTCATGGTTCAGTGGTTAAAGTTAAGTTTTTGTGTTTTGGTCTTTTTTCCTTATCCTATATGCAATAGGTCAACTTTATTTGGTGTATGGAATGATTGTAAGGTGTGTGTATCTGTCTGGCAGGTATCATATGAACTTGACCTCATTTTCATTGTTCATTGGTCAATGTTAAGGTTTCCTGGTTAAGTTTGTTTCTTAGATACTATAAACAATAAGTCAACTATATTTAATGCATAGCTTGATTGTAAGCATAAATTGATTGTAAGGTGTACATGTCTGTCTGGCAGGGTTCATCTGACCTTGATCTCATTTTCATTGTTCATTGGTCAATGTTAAGTTTTCCTGGTTAAGTTTGTTTCTTAGAAACTATAAGCAATAGGTCAACTATATTTTGTGTATGGAATGATTGTAAGGTGTACATGTATTTCCGGTTTGGTTTATCTGACCTTGACCTCATTTTCATGGATCATGTTAAGTTTATGTGATACTTGTAGTTAAGCTTTATATTTAGGACTATCAACATAAAATCAATGGTCAGTAAAGTAGGCGCAACATTTCAGTGTGTGCACTCTTGTTTGTAATTCCAAATAGAAAATCAGTATGTTATCTCCTTTAAAATAAAATATCTGCATCACACTTTACAATGATCTTAAAAGCAAAATTAATCATGATCATTTTCAGGTAAGGCGACAGGAAAAATACATATATAGGGTATCTACAGAAATGTCCAGTTCCTCTATATAGGTCTGATAGGTACATAAGAAAAGAAAGATCTAAGATCATCAAATGTAACTTAAAAATTAAATGCTGTTGAGTTTGTTAATAAAAACATTGTTACAAGTATTTTTGGTTTGGAAAGTTTGTATTACTGATTATCTTTATTATAAATAGGTAGGGAAATCAAAATATTAGGTAAGTTGCTATAAGCATGAGAAGCAATTATAGGGATTTCAGTAGTATTACCCATTCCTCTATTATAAACAGGTCATCTCCGTTTTGCAAAGTACTTGGTTTTTGCTGTAGAAATGAATTAACGTTATGTGTGAAGAAAGATGTTATAGTATAGTTTAACGCCAAATCTTTTTGCAGTTTATAAAAAAAACAATAGTAAAATTTTTAAAAAGTAAAAAATTTTAATGTAGAAATGCAATAATTTACTTTTAAATGACACCATTCAACATTTCTTCATCAAAGAAACATACATTTTTTGTTATGACAGATGAATTGTAACTCCTGATTCAAGGGGTAGGATACATTTTGCATGCAAGTTGGTTTATACAAAGTGCTTAATATAAAGTATACAAAAGGAGAGGATCAAGTCTTTTTTTATAGTTTATTTGGCGATGGACAAGCATGTTGATTATGAGATCTTCTAGTTTATGGTATATTTTCTGTATTGTTTATGTGTACTGTCCTGTACCATTTTATAATTAAAACTCTAAGAGTATTTAACCAATAAAAAAATCAAAAGAAATACCAGAGAAGATACCATAAATGAAAGATATCTAAAAAGAACCCAAAGAAATCCAATTTATATTACAGGTTGATGTTGATATATAAAACCATAAGATGTTGATTAAGAAAGTTAAGAACAAATAGCACTAGTACATTAAACAAGACTGATCAATAACAAATCAGTTTCCTGGTAGGGGCTAACAGACCTAATACTATTGTGATGCCATGTAGAAATTGATAGGAATTAGAACAGATAGTTAGAAACAGCATGTTAAAAGTTCCATTTCCTGCATTGTAGCAATATTAATGCATTACAAACATCATTGATTAAGCATAGGGAATGTTGTTTTCTTTCAAACTTCTCTGTATTTCAGGAATTTCATTACATTAGACATGTTTTTAGGCTTATTGTGTCCTTATGGAACTCTCTTACAAAAAAAGAAGGGTTTGTGTTTAAAAATCTGAAAATTCTTCACAAGGAACTTCTAAAGTAACTGTTGAGTAAAACTAAAGAATTTGGTCACCAGCAAAGGATGAAAGATCTAGATATGTAGTCACATGTAATATATTTAATGACACACACAACACTTTTAATTCCTAGTATTTGTTTTTTTGTTTTTCAGATCCATCAGGTATAACACCCCCGACAACTGATCAGCTCAAAAGAGGTAACAAGTAGTAAATTATACCATTTTTTTCATTATAAAAGCATTAATTTGGATACAGTTAAAGATATTATTATTTTTGGTCATCACTGGATGTCATTAATTTTAGAAGTCCAGATTTACTTCTATAGTATTTGGTGTTACCCATATTTATTCAATAAACTATATTAAAATAGTACAATTTACTTTCATAACTATAAATAATAAGGATTCAGAAACAAGCACAATTGCTTATTTAAATCTATCTCTTAAAGTACTTTATTAAAGTACCGTACTGTATTCAGTATGAGAAATGAATAACTATTAACAGAGTTGGAGTCAGATATTGAGAAATGATTGTTTCTGTCTCTGTGATGAATGTTTTTGAAATTCCTTGGAAAAGTGTGCTGTATAAACGCCAATCTATCTAATTATAACAATTTCTTGCTGACTTTGTACCCTCATATTCCCTAATCACTAATGTAATGAGTTGAAATTTGTAATTATATGGGTTATTGTAAACTGAGATCAATACTGAGATGAAAAACCTAGGGAATTATTTATCACATCAGAAAATTAAAATCATTATGAAGTCTTGTTGACATATGCTGATGGTGTAATAAAAAAAAAAGTTTGTTTTTTAAATTAGTTCATATGGTATCAACTTTAACAAAAGGCAATGTGCTTGAATGAAATTATTTCTCAAATTTGGTTTTCAAAGGGATTTTTAGAAATTGAATTAAGTATCCCCATTTCAAAAGGGAAATGATTTGGAACATGCAGAGTGGGTGTATACCTTTAAGAAATAGTCCCATTGGTGAGAAAAAGTACAAAGAGTCTTAAAGAAAGGACTGTATTAAAACTGATGATTTTTTTTATTGATAAAAATGGTAGATTCACTCAATGGTAAAATATAATGCAGTCCCTGATAGCCTTCAAAGATTTTAATCTACTGGAATTCATGTAGAAATATAGATTTGAAGAATGACAATATCTTATATTTAATATATCTTTTGAGAATGACCAATGTGGCTTCCTCAATCATATGCTAAGTGCTGTTCCATCAACACTGTAATTTGATTTATAACACTGTTGTGGTACATTACAATTGGGGAGGGAATAATTATTTCTTCTAAAGAATGTTTATTTACATAAATTGAATTATTTTTTCAGTTTTCATTCATAATGCTTTGCCTTTTATTGGATTTGGTTTCCTAGACAACTTCTTGATGATTACAGCGGTGAGTTAAAAGATAATTGTGTCAGATCTTGTATCAAATCAGAACAGACATTTTTAGTTATTAATAATATAAAAGACCTTTCAGACTGGGTAAGAGTAATATTGGAAAATAATGGATTGTTTGAAATATCAGATGAAAAAAAATATGATGGTTTAATGTAAAACAATTATGAATAAAATCTTGATAATCGATTGGAAAGTAAAGTTAAGACATCAATTATCCTTTGTATAAAGAAATTGACTGTTATCAAACCATAAGAGACTGAAATTAGACAAAAAACTGTTGACAGACATCCATATACTGGTGGACAAGTTTAACATATATCTGTGTGTTGACCTGAAATATTTTGAGTAATACTAATTTACTGCAGTGTCATGACTGAGAATGAAGTCTTGGCTTATTTGAAAATTTAACTTTAGACTTTAAAGAAGACTACAGTCTTAATCAACAAGGATTATCATTTTTCCTGCCAAAGGGCGACGGTTCTTTCCTGGTACTTAGTATTACTCAAAATATTTCAGGTCAACACACAGATATATGTTAAACTTGTCCACCAGTATATGGATGTCTGTCAACAGTTTTTTGTCTAATTTCTGTCTCTTATGGTTTGTAAACAGTCAATTTCTTTATACTTTCTCCACCAATAAAAACTAGTAGTCATGATATAGCCAAGGTTGCTGAACGCTAACAAACAAACAAAATAAAGATTGACCATGATCAGTTCCACTGGAGTTCTCTTGTTGCCATTATGGCAACTGAATTTTTAGTCCTTTTGGAAGAGGTGATTCAAGTAAAAGACACCTGGGAATAAATGATACTATCTCAATTGGTTCAAATTTCTTTCGTTACACAATTTAAGCTGAGAATAATTATATTTGAATTTTGAATAAGATAAATATATTGCTTCATTTTTTAGGGTGAATACATAGATGTTACTTTTGGTGCTCTTCTTGGCATATCAACAATGGCAGGTAAGAGCTTTACTCCTCCTAGCAATTTCAATGAAAGTTAACTACATTTTTAAATGAAAAAAAATCCATACAAGCTAACAAACAAAAAACATATTTTTAGTGCATTGTAGAGTAGAAGGTATGTTTATTGACAAAATAAGACTGTTGTGATATTATTTTGACATCACTTCAAATGTGTATCTTCAAGAATAAAACAAAGGAGGAGGTTCAAAGGTCATTTTGGCTAAAATATGATTTAATTGTAGTAAATAAACCATTTTTTAAGACGTTTTGGCCACTTGCCTTCTTCACTTTCTTTATTATCCTTCTTAACTACATGGTAGACATAACTTTAAATAAAAAAAGAATGCAAAAATATGATTGTTAAGTATATGAAAAGTTGAAACTGAAAGATCTTTGAAATGTTTTTGAATTTCAACAGAGATTTTATAGTGGAAAGATAAATTACAATTTAAATTAAAGACATGACAAAATTGGCATATTTGTTAATGGGAAATATTGATCACATGCAAGTACCACAAAAATAATTACATGAGTTGTGTTGTTCATATAGACAAACATTGTGGTAAATAATTTAGTTGGTACTTGCTTGTGCTCTATATTTGCGGGTCCCAATACTATCTGAAAAATGATCAAAATCTATGTATTTTCATGAAAACACATAGAAGGGTCTTTTCCATGACATCACATCTACATTTATTGTGATGTAATGGATAGAAAAATTCTCATTACTAATCTTTCATGACCTCAACTTTAAAGAAAACACAAAGTTCAAATTTCAGATGGAAATTAGGCCAATAAAGACCCTAAAAAAGGCAATGTGCTTGAAGGAAATTATTTCTCTAATTTTGTTTTCAAAGGGATTTTTAGAAATTGAATTAAGTATCCGCATTTCAGAAGGGAAATGATTTGGAACAGAGTGGGTGTACCGTTTACCTTTAAGAAATAGTCCCATTGGTGAGAAAAAGTACAAAGAGTCTTAAAGAAAGGCCTGTATTAAAACTGATGATTTTTTTTATTGATAAAAATGGTAGATTCACTCAATGGTAAAATATAATGCAGTCCCTGATAGCCTTCAAAGATTTTAATCAACTGGAATTCATGTAGAAATATAGATTTGAAGAATGACAATATCTTATATTTAATATATCTTTTGAGAATGACCAATGTGGCTTCCTCAATCATATGCTAAGTGCTGTTCCGTCAACACTGTAATTTGATTTACAACACTGTTGTGGTACATTACAATTGGGGAGGGAATCATTACTTCTTCTAAAGAATGTTTATTTACATAAATTGAATTATTTTTTCAGTTTTCATTCATAATGCTTTGCCTTTTATTGGATTTGGTTTCCTAGACAACTTCTTGATGATTACAGCGGAAATTAGGCCAATAAAGACCCTAATCACAAGGTGTTCTTTAATTTTGTATTTAATTTTCGGTTTTTTATACCCCCGCTTTACCTCTGTCTGTCCTTATGTCAGTCCGTCAGTCCATATGTCCGTCCCATGAATATTTTCGTCGCATTTTTCTCAGGAACTACTTGACAAGGATTTCTGAAATTTGGTTTCAGGGTTTATATAAGTAAGTTACACCGTGTGATGCGTTTTCAGATTCATCACTCAACAACTTCCTGTTTACCGAACACTTGTATTATTTTACACATGATAGCCAAGTTGAAAATTTTCATCACATTTTTCTCAGGAACTACTTGACAAGGATTTCTGAAATTTGGTTTCAGGGTTTATATAAGTACGTTACACCCTGTGATGCGTTTTCAGATTCATCACTCAACAACTTCCTGTTAACCGAAATATTTCGGCTGGGGTATCATCAGTGAGCAGTAGCTCACAGTTTTACTTGTTTTTTCTCTGTTATATGCATAAGGTCTTTGTAGATTCAGGATGATACCTGCAAAAAGGTCCTAAAATTGTTTATTTTTCATGAATTTTAAGAGAAGTAAAATGTTGTGTAAATAAAAGGAGATATTTATTATATGTCAAAGACACAACAACACAAAAGACATATATATATATCAACAGCAGTTTTCAATAAAACATGTTCCAATATATTCCTGTTCAGAGTAATGTTTTTACCAATTCTAGTGTATTGGGGATTATCATTTAAACTATATTAAAAAGACAGAAACTATAAGCAACAAAACTGATAATCAAGGCAAGATATATAAGATGAGTCATTTAAGATCTTGAAAATAATTTTTTATCCTGATTTTTACATAAATGATAAATGTGATCCTGGCAATTGAGAAAATAAAAATTAATGGCTTTCATATACATATATACTGATTTTTTTTAAATTTTAAATGAAATCATTTGTTCCTTGAAAAATGAGAAAATAAATATCACAATGGTATATTATTGCTAGGTGAGCTATTCAGGCTCTTAAGAATCTGTAGGAACCTCTAGTTTATTATTAACAGTGAAATAAATCAAAGTACTGAAGTACTGAACATCGGATGACCACAAGTTCTTGAGGATGGTCAAAAGCACTTGTCTCAGAAAAAAACAACATATCTCTTTACCTGAAACTGAGGTTAATGTACAGAGATATATTTTTTTCTAGAAAAGTGCGTGCGAGTATGATGAATAAATGACAGGAAATTCAACTTCACCGTAATAACTATTATATTGTAGTGATACAAATCAGTATACACTGATTTGTTGTTATATATTATATTAAAATAACAGTTACATATATATATGATTTGCATCCGTTTGTATATCATTCTATTCTACTGTTCTAATAATAGTGCAATGCAAGTGCATGGTGGACACTTTTCTGTAAAAATTCGATTTTTCTAAGATTGGATACGAGTAGGCATTCATATTTTCCCGCAAAAACAATTACAGAGTTACCGGTCCTGTCGCAAAACGTTCTTTGAGATATTCTTCCGCATGCTTTAACACAAATTTTCGGTACGTGTGCATTGATATTATCAATGATTTTTTACTTATATATATATATATATATCTAACTACAAAACATTTTCACATTATTAATTTATGTTGTAAACAAAAATATTTTTATCAGTATTCATTGAAGAGGTGTATTTATATCAAATGACAAGGAATGTTATTTTGCACTCGTTTATGTGCGCATATTTATCATGTTTATAGATCGGTTACAAACCCAAAACTAATTTACATAATGGAAATCTAGGCGATAGCAATACATCGGAGTGACCTCAAGGTCATCGCGATGTAAAAAGGTACATAGAAGAATATACAATAAAAATCTGTACAGAAAAAGCTTTAACTCTATGATAACAGTATTACAGAAAACAAAAACACAGATACAAGGAGGGGGTCATCCCAAATTCCTGGAAAAATAAACGCTGAATCCTAAATTCCTAAAATTAAAGCATTCTTATCTGGATCTAGAAAGATTAATCCTTAATTCCTGTGTCCCCATAAGTGTAAATCCTGAATAACTACAAGAATAAAGGACCAATCCCAATGTCTAGAAAATGGTACTTCTGCCCCTCAGTAAAGCTGTTTAAAATTATGATGTATCAAAAATATTCTTACTAAATAATGATTTATCAAAAAATAATCATAGTTACCGAAAGCCCAAAAGTACTTAATCTGCTGATATAGAAATCCTGTATTTTTTATCTCTGATATAAGCAGATGTACTTCAGAGTAGATTTTATATAGCTTTGTCAGGCAAAGTGCAGACTAGCATGATCTTATGCAATGCCCAAAGTGAATTTGTAAACAGAATTTTTTAAAAGTAAAGAAAAACAGTTCACCTCATGTTTAAATTTTCATTTGGGCAGCCAGTGCATACCGATACTTCTTTAATTTAACCAAAGTAAACTTCTCTTATCTTACACATTTTGTAGATTAGATTTTACAAGCACCAAATTGTGATGTCTTAGGGAAGTGAAATGATCACAAACAATCAGCAAATACACTTTCTTAATGATTCAATAGCTATTAATGCACAATTTTGAATTTCTACTGAAATTTAATGATTAAAACGATTAAATAAATCCTCTTTAACTTCTTACTTTATTTGTCCTTTTAAACTTTTCAAGCATCACTGATGAGTCTTTTGTAGACCAAACGGGCATCTGGCGTACAAAATTTCAATCATGGTATCTGTGATGAGTTTATTCCCTGATTACACCTTGTCCTTATAAATAAAGAAATAATTTTTATATGAATTGTGGGACAATAACCTATGAAAGTCCTTTAATCATTAATATAATTTTTTGTGTAATTGGTTTGTATGGTTTGAGATAAGGCAGAATTTCAAATAAATAAGAAATTTGTATATCATGGATTTAAAAAAATTTTGGGGTTAGTGAACTATGAAATCCTCAAAATTAGTACATGTATTACTTTATTGTTAGGAAGGCAACAGTCTATGCATTGTCCTGTAGTTAATGACTATTGACAATATATACATCTGAGACAAGTCATTTTTCTTACAGGGACAATATAAGACATGTTTGAAGTTATGAATTACTTGAGCTAATAGCACAATTTAGACTATAATTTCTATTTTACAGCTTTTTGTTAAATTTTAAAAATTGCACCATTGACTCTTGCTTGTGGTCATTTTTTTGTCTTTGAGAAGTCAAAATACATACATCTATTGGAACTAGAAAATGTTTTTTCTGCTGATATATATTTCTGCTTGTATGATTAAATATAGATGCCCTCAAAAAACACCTTTTTTTATCTGGTTAATTACTCTTTCAACAGACTTTTTTTTCTATTAGAAGAGAGAATGTGTAAAGAGCTTTGTTTACTTTAAAAAATGTATTACAAAATTATTTGAAATTTGCATTAAAATATCAGGTAAGTGCAAACTTTTAATTGTAAGGTTTAAAAGTTGCTTAAATTTAATATTTCTTCAAAAATGTAAAAAAAAAATGCTTAGTTTTGACATATTTTGAGAGAAGCAAATAATGAATGCTTGAAAATACTGCTTTGCCTCATATTTCCCAAATAATTTAAATTAAAAGTAGAGAATATACCATAGATGTATATACAAGATTGGACTTGGAATATGTCAAAGTTCACTTATGCACACATACATGTATATGAATGAAATACTACCGAAGGTATAAACAAAAGTTTACTCTCTAAGTGACTGAAGGCTATATACCTGGTTAAATTGAAACTCTTGCTCACTTAATTTGGAAAGTACTTGTTAGTATTTTATATTTTCGGCAATACTGTGAAATTAAACACGCGTAAATTCATCTGCAATACTGATCTCGTGTAAATAAGTACACACGAAAAAAAGTACATATACAGTATCAATCAATAGCACTTTTATTGCTGTTCTTCATCTTGATAATGGCTTAAAGTTATGGGACTCAGGGCTCGACAATAATGCTTGTCCATTTGTCCTGTACTAGACGGGAAAAAAAAAAGTCAGACAAGTAAAAGCCATATCAAGCTTGTCCGATGGGACAAGTTAAATCATTCTGTAGAAAATAAATTAAATCCAACTTTGATGATCAAAGTAATAAACAAAAACAAGAAAAAGCTGGCTTTGTATATAAGGTAACAAGACAGTTCGGCACTGGCACGGAAAAAAACGGCTCGGCACTGTTGGAGACATTTCAGGACCAAGATAAACCAGTACCTGTTTTTTTTCCTTATTCTGTTTTTATTTTTGAAAATAAAAATTGAGAAATTATTGACCATAGAATTCAGAAAATCATATTTGATTATATTTAGACAAACAGTATTTGATTGTGTTTGAATAAACATTTTAATATATTAAAAACAAAGCTGATTGTAGTAACACATTAATCATAATAATCAATATTTCATCAACATAAAAGACCAGGATACAAACCAAATGAGTGTAGACTGACAGGCCTACAAGACTGTGCCTGATGTGCAGAGTCTGATGAGACTTTGGCATTGATGAAAACTAGAACCTAAGTCCTGTGACTAGACTTGACTAGATTCAGTTGTTCTCGACTCATATTTTTGAAAAGGATATCAAGAGATATAAATCAAATTCTGTTCTATTGTTTTAATTCATTTTGTTCATTGAATCAACCTAAAATGCAAAAAAGGTTATAATAATAAAGGTTTTTTTTTTGGACAAGTTACAATTCCATTCGGACAAGTAAGTTTTGGTATGTAATTGTTCTATTTGGCAAGTTGAAAAAAAGTTATTGTAGAGGCCTGGGACTAAGACATAAAGAGCTCTTCCTTACACCAAATGATGACTAGTGTTGGCTTCATGTGTAACTTACAATATATTCTTTAGTAAGTTAGACTGACATATAGCTGTAATGATGCCAGGTATCTATTTAACTGTTTATTATCATTCATAGTAATTATCATTTTAAATTTCAGCTGCTGCATTAGGCAATTTGCTGTCAGATGTTTGTGGTGTTGGGTAGGTATAATGTTATAAGGGAGATAATCTATGAAAGATTGCATATACTTTTTTATAAAGAATAAGAGTTATCTCCTTTAGCATGCTTCTAAGTTATCTTGTTCACGTTGATTTTTATCCCTTGCCTATTAATGATTTAGGGCATTTTTTTAGGTTTTTTTTTCCCATTTGTGTATCTGTCCATTAATCGGTACATCCTGTATCAGGTTAAAGTCTTTGATTGATATAGTTTACCATGAAGTTATGGTCACATCAACTTGAAACTTAGTACACTATTCATTATGATGTTGGCTTTCAAAAAGATAAGCAGAATATGGTTTTGTTCCTTATGTCTCTGTTCATTGAACATGGAAATGCAATAGTGCAAGTGGGGCAATGTTTCCTATTTTCGACTCATATTTTTCTTTATTATTAATAGATTCTAATTAGATTTTACATATAAAGTGACTTTCCATATTGCTGTACAATATTTTGAATCCTATATTCTAATTACCAGGTCAGCCCATTATATAGAGGTTCTCTGTAGTAGATTTGGTGTGAGAGGTCCATCATTGACACCAGACCAAGTAGATATGAAACAGACACGATGGTCTTCAAACACGGTAGGGTTCATTTAAAACTAAGCCTGTAAAGTTATATTGGTTTATTTGGTTTACTACATCAAGTTAGAGTTCATTTTATTGCCTTTAGCATAAATTTCTGTTTTGTTGCTTTTAACACATGATAATGAATTATTGCTTATCGCTTACCTCAAGGGTTGACTGGAGTATGGAAATGGTTACCTAGATTTCTCCTATCTGGTAGTAAAATCCATGTTGGAGAGGGATTTCCATTTGACTGTGCTGGGTGTATGAATCCAGTCAGATGATGATGCTGATGATGATAAATGACTGCTTTGCTTCCAATGGCAAATTAAATGCATATTCAGGATGAAAACATGTTGATATTATACAAATATGAACCCGATTTGTACTAGATGGACAGGCTGTGCTGGATTGCTAGATTGCAAGGTAACAGTTCACAGTCAGAACTTGAGTTAAACAACAGAAAATAACAACTCATTTATTTTCCTCATTTTTTTTGTTGAAATTTTTAGATGAAAAATTGTAAATAAAACCAAGTAATATGCACTTTATCATTCTTCCAAAGTTCCCATAATGCAATTTGACTGGCATAACATTTATACTTCTGAAGTTGGTTTGTTACTTAAAATATTGTCTTGTATAATTGCAGGGTAAAGCTGTTGGTGTATCTATCGGCTGTTTCTTAGGAATGTTTCCTTTGTTATTTTATGGTCGCACCAAAGATAAGGAAGAAACCAGCTAGCAGTGTTAACCTAATCAACTAATTATAGTGAAAAACCTTTTAAACTGCCTTAACTACTCATATGGTGGTTAGATTATACTGAGCTGCAACTGCCTTAACTACTCATATGTTGGTTAGATTATACTGAGCTGTAGGTGACATTATATTTACACAGCCAATGATATTAAGTCATTTTTTCATCGCATTATCATGTTAATTTTTTCATCTGCTCTGGTACATATTTTGCAGTTAGTTAAAATATTGTCAGCATGAAGGATTTTTTTAAGAGAAACCTTTTACAGAATATAATGAGTTTTTTCTTAATTTGAAATAGTCTGACACATGTATTTTCATCTTGACTAATGTAAATTGTTTTAGGTGCTGCAAAAAGTTTTGATATAGTGTTATTTTTTATAATCCATCAAAATGTTACTATGACAAATGCTTTCATTGAAAGATAAGTTGGAGTTTACAATTAGACAATTTTCAGTCATAGACTTAAAGGACATGGTGGAGGGTTGGGCGTTCACAAACATGTTTACCCCCCCCCCCCCCCCCCACATTCTGTAATCTGCCTGTCCCATGTCAAGAGACTGTAATTCAGTGGTTGTTGTTTGTTGCTCAATACCATATCTAATTGTGTTCATTGTTTTTATGCCCCTGCCGAAGCAGAGGGGGCATTAAGTGTTACCCTTGTCTGTCTGTATGTCCGTACGTTTGTCCCGAAATTGGTTTCTATTCTCTTAACTTTAGATCTCCTCAAACAAATGTTATGAATCTTATACACAATGCTTATTACCACAAAACACAGATCAAGTTTGAATTAAGGTGGTGTCACTTTTACCGTGATAGAGTTATGCCCCTTTATAAATGAAAGAATTGTTGAATTTTTCGTTTCCATTCTCTAACTTAAGTTTGCTTCAACCAAATGTTATGAAACTTTACACATTGCTTATTACCACAAAACTCAGATCAAGTTCAAATTTTGGTGGTGTCACAGTGAATTATGTCACTTTATAAAGTTATATGCAACCAGGGGCATCATCTATGTCCCATGGACGCATTCTCCATTTATTTTTACATAAATGATAAAATCAGGTAGTTTTTCTCGTTTTTTGTTTTACATTTGTATGTCATGGCCTTATATAGCTTGCTATGTGGTATGAGTTTTGTTCATTGTTGGGGGCTGTACTGTGACACATAGTTGATAACTTGTATGTCATGTTGTCTCTGATGGAAAGTTGTCTCATTGGCAATAATACCACATCTTCTTATTTTTATATGGAAGTAGATATCGTCAGGTCACAATGCTGACTTCATAATTAGCAATTATTCTTACCATATGGAAAGCTATAAGGGCCACCTCCTTGCCAAAGTTCAATAAAAAATTAGAATAGAGCTAAAGGCCTTACTTATAAAAGCAGGGAGAATACAATAAGCAACATGGTTCAGGATTTGGACAAACATATAAATTATGTTGCAAGGTTAAACATATGTTATTAATGCTCAGCTCAACCCTTCCGGGCCAGTGGCAGAAAAGCAAAACCATGAGTAGTTAACTAAAACATGATATGTCTCCCCTTTATGGCAAATATGAAAATATATGGTAAATTAGTGGGAATCTTGACTTCTTTTTATACGAGCAGTTGTATATTGGTATGACGTTGGCGTTGTCGTCGTTGTCGTCCGGCGTTGTCGTCGTCAGGCGTCCTCATCGTCAGGCGTCCTCGTCGTCAGGCGTCCTCGTCATCAGGCGTCGTCGTAGTCTGAAGACACATTGGTTTTCGCACAATAACTATGGATCTCTATGAAATTTTACCATAAGGTTCAATACCACATAAGGAAGGTTGGGATTGATTTTGGGGGTTATGGTACCAACAGTTAAGGAATTAGGGGACAAAAAGGGGACAAAAATAAGCATTTTCATTTCAGATTTCAGAAATTAAAAAGAAAATTTCTTCAAATATTATTTCTTTTTGCCAAAAAAGGGGGAGTGGGGGTTAAAATTTTTTTATTTTTTTTTGGTGGGGGAGGGGGGGGGGGGGTAAATACGCAACAGCACTGTATTTCACAAAAGCAAAAAAAAGGGGGGTAAATTGGTACATTGTTTTTGGGGGGGGGGGGGGGGGTCAATTTCGCAACAGCATAGTGTATTGCACAAAAGCAAAAAATTGAATATAAATTCAAATCATATAACCAATTCTAAGTTCTTTGACTAGAGTTATTCGGTGTCAGAAACCTATTATGTGTCAAATATTTATTTACGATCCAAATTCAGACCTGTATCAAGCGCGAATATTGTGTCCATTTTTGCCCCAACTGTTCAGGGTTGGACCTCTGGGGTCGTATCCAGCTGCGCTCAGTGAAGCATTTCATTTTATGATAAGATGGGATAAGGCATGACAATCACAACCCCCAGCCCACTCCTAGACAAAATCTATGGTGAGTAGAAATAGTTGTCCTTTCAATTTAGGATATATTTGGTTTAAGGGTGCAAATTTGAACAGTTGTAGAGAATACTAGAGATATTTAAACAATTTATGATAAGAGAGTTCAGTGTACTCCCAACAAATTTCATACAACTTACTAGTCAACAGGGAATTTTAAAATACTAACAGTATTTTGTTTCTAGAAATTATAGCACCACATCCATAACCAATCTATAAGAAAATAAGTTCATATCATTAAGAACCACATTCAAGCAAAATAGAATCTCATTACCATGATGCTTAAAGGCCCAGGGAAGAATGGGGGGGGGGGGGGGGGAGGAGGGGGGTACTGGTAGGTTCTTATCATTGCTGTTTAGAATGTATATGGTTTTAGGGTATGATTTATTCAACAGTTATTAATATATTGAACAATTTACAATACAAAGGGGTGGGCTAGTGTATCTGTAAATATCTTGTTGTGACAATTAAAAAAATATATGATTTAGGGATATGGATAGGAAAGTTATTCAAGATATCTAACAATTAGATTAGGCAAAACCTATGGTGAACTAGAAAGGTCTTATCTAGGCAATTAAGACTGTTTATAGTTTAGGGATGATTTGAACCAGTTTTGAGATATTAAACAATTTATTATATGTAGAGAGGGGCAAACTCTAGAGTGCATTGAAAATGTCTTGTCATGGTATTCAAGAATATATATGGTTTTTGGAAGGACAAATAAAAAATAAATTATTTGACCTTGTAAATCAAAAGTCATCTTCAGTGGTACATGACACATTGGCTTAAGGTGCTGAACCCATGTGCCAAATATCAAAAGCCTATTTTAAAGCATACACAAATTATAATGTTTCAGACACACAAAAATCCCTAAAAATCAATTATTTTGACCTTGAGGTCAAAGGGTAATGTCATGATTGAATGTGACACACCATCTTATGGTTTAACCCATTCATGCCAAATATCATATGTCAATGTCAAAAGATAATAAATTGTGGATTGGGCAAGTTTAAATGAGAACTAGATGAAGAAAAAGAAGAAATTATACTAGAATATCCTGTCTCCTTTCATTGAAGGAAAGACAAAAAGTTTTCCCCAATCCCGTTTTTCATAGGAGACAAAAACTATAACATTAGTTTAAAAAGTATAATATTTTATTATAAAGATATAATCAATGAAATAAAACTAAATTTGTATGCAAATTTAAGCAGGAATCTATAAAACAGGAAAACTTATGTAAAACAGGAAAACTGATTACTTTCTGAGGACATTTTAATTCTCTTTTCATGTCAAAATGTTTTAGTGTCTGTTTCATTTGTTTACTGCTTATTAGGGAAGTATGTTTTTCTTTGCTTAGCAACCAACCAGATTTAGCAGAACAAATTTGCCTATTTTGGCTATTTTGTCTTCATTATTCAATAAAAGGTACATGTACATGTACATCTCTATGTTTTACACATTTTGTTAATAGTTTACAAAGTTGCTGATTTAGTTTTTTTTATCTGGGTTTATTTTTCTTATTTTGAATGTTATTTACTTAGGATATAAGCATGTAAGCATATGTTGTATGAAAACAATAGTCTTATGGTTTTTAAATTTGGTATATAATATAAATATTAAGTTTTACCCTTGTCCGTCCATACGTACGTACGTCCCAAAGTTGGTTTCCGTTCTCTAACTTTAGTTTGCCTCAACCAAATGTTATGAAACTTATACAAAATGCTTATTACCACTAAACACAGATCAAGTTTGAATTTTGGTGGCATCACTTTAACCGTTCTAGAGTTATGCTCCTTTACAAATGGAAAAATTGCTGAATTTTTCGTTTCCGTTCTTTAACCTTAGTTTGCCTCAACCAAATGTTATGAAACTTACACACGATGCTTATTACCACAAAACACAGATCAAGTTTGAATTATGGTGTAGTCACTTTAACCCTTCTAGAGTTATGCCCCTTTACAAATGGAAAAAATGCTGAATGTGTCGTTTCCGTTCTCTAATTTTAGTTTGCCTCAACCAAACGTTATGAAACTTATACACAATGTTTATTACCACAAAATACAGATCAAGTTTGAATTTTGGTGGTGTCACTTCAACTGTTCTAGAGTTATGCCTCTTTACAAATGGAAAAATTGTTGCCTCAACCAAATGTTATGAAACTTGTACATAATACTTCTTACCACAAAACTCAGATCAAGTACAAATTTGGGTATCATCATTTTTACCGTTCTTCAGTTATGTCCCATTATAAATTTATATGATATGCAAGCGGGGGCATCATCTGTGTCCCATGGACACATTCCCCATTTATTTATTACATGAAATAAAGATAAAGTTTAATAGTTGCTTATGCTTATTTTCATGGTCATTTCATGGAAATAACTCATTTATCAAATCATGACATTGTCACAATATATTGTTGTAGTGTATTTATGAATTATCATGTAATTTTTATAGATTTGTCATAGAAATACCAGAACTACCCAAATGAAATGAATCATTTCAAGATTTATACAAGACTGCACTAATTTGCTGTAAGCTTAGTTATTACAATTTAATATTTAATTGTTGCTTGAAGATTTTGAATACAATAAGATTTATTTTTAAATGTTGGTTGGCATTCGTTGGTTATGCTCAGTACCAATGTTTATACAGTTATATTAGCTATTTGAAGCATGTAAAACTATGACAATTTTATATTTTTAGAGTTTATTAAAGAGAAGGAATTAAGATTTTATCTGTGTATCCTTGAGTTTTTTATTGAATAAAATAAAATAAACAGTATTCATCAATTTGATATTGCTGGTCACAATGCCTAATGATAAAAAAGTGTTATCAGCTACATTACTTGATACTGTGTTAAATACTCAAAAAAACAAAACCTTTAATATCTCTTGAAACATAACTTGTTGCCAGGCATACTCTTTTCCAATTTCTTGGTTGGTGAGACATTGTTTTTTTTCTTTAACTTTTATAAACTCTTACTTCTCTTGGTAACACGTGGTATTGAATTTTCTAATTCAACTGTTTTTATCTGGACTGAGCCTTCAATAGCTGTAATTCAACAGGGATAATGCAACTGCTTATCAGAAAACTTGAGTTCTCTGTCTAGTGTTTTGTGATATGTTGGATGTCATATTGTCTTCTGTCCATTGCTCATGGTATTTTCTGTCTTTCTTTGACTTACAGGTTTTGATTGCCTCCCCTGCTTCTTTTTCACTATTTTTATAAAGTCTATTACACATGTACTATACATTAAGATGTTTTAAAATATAAAAATAAAGAGATGTGGTATGCATTCCAGTGAGACAACTCTCCATTAGAGACCAAATGACCTATAGATCGCAACCATAGGTCACTGTATGACCATCAACAATGAGCAAAACACAAACCACATAGCAAGCTATAAAAGGCCTCAAAATGACAAATGTAAAACAATTCAAACGAGAAAACTAAGTGCCTGATTTATATACAAAACAATAAACGAAAAAACAAATATAATATACAGCCACAAACGACAACCACTGAATAACAGGCTTCTTTCTTTTATTCATGGTGTTCCTTCTTTGACGTATCGCTTTTGATTGCCTCCTTTATTTATCTTTTAAAGTCTTGTACACTGGTACTTTTATTGAGATAAAATTTTACCTGTATTTGTTTTTGGAGAAGACGCCTTACCATTTGTCCTATATTATTAGTTTGTTGTAGATTTTACACCTTCTTTCCTTTTAATTTCATCCCACTGTTATTAAACATTTCAATTATACATTGTAACTTTATAGTTTTACTGAAAGATTTCATTTAGAGAATTTCAGCCATTTCTGATTTTCTCCAAAAATTGATAACAGTATTATTGACATGGAAAATTAGCAGAAATTGACTTAATTCATAGAAAAATTAAGAAGATTTTTTTTAAAAGGAAGCTGGAATGAAAGTACATGTATTGAGATCTGGAAACTCAAAATATCCACCATCATTACCACTTATGTCCAATAGCATTACATCTTAAGTTTCAGACTCTTCACAAAGACTACAAATAATCCATCACATTTTCTTCCTTGCAGAATTAGTGTGTATATTAAATTGTACAGTACTTTTTTGAATGTCTAGTTTTAACTGCCCAATGTTTACAAGTAAGTTAATATTATAACTTTCTACGAATACTTAAGATATCAATAACACTTCTTTTTCCATTGATTACATCTATTTGGCTCTACTCTGACATTAATGATAAAGACATAGAGCTGTAACAGTACTTCCTGATATATGGGGCACTTCAAATTTAATGAATGAGAAAAATCATGGATTTTGAAAGGGGGGGGGGGGGGGCGTAAATCCATAAAGGGATTATATATAAATTTTTTGGACTATTTTATGCTAGAAAATCCTATAAATGCCGAAAAACATGATATAATTATTTTTTTGGGTGATCAAAAGGAGGGGGCTACACCCTCTACCACCCCACCCCACCCCTAAATCCGCCACTGTTGAGCACTTTTGAAAAAAATATAAGCTCAGAAAGAAATGGCATCTTCGTAAGTGTAGTAACATCAAACTCTTTGAATAAAG